AGAGGTACACGGTTCAAATCCACCAGATGCTCTGCTGGAGAAGGAGGGACAATTTCCTCCTCTACCAGTCAGATCTGATTTGACGGTACGTGCACAAAAAATAATAATAAAAAAAATATATATAAGATTTCAGAGGGCAGCTTGGGAAGACAAAGTCTTGACACTTAGAGAGATGCAAATCAAAATAATAATGAGATAGTACCTTACCTTAACAACAATATAGCAAAGTTCACAAAGTTCATGAGTAAAAAATCCTAGCAAGGGTGTACAGAGACTAGAACATTACTGGCAGAATGTAAAATGCTGCAACCATTATGGAAAGCAGTATGACACTTCCTTAAAAAGATGAAAATGTAAATACCAGCCAGGATCCATTTGACTTTAGCAAAGGTATTTCTGGTGTCTCCTTTTCTAAACCAAGCCTGAACTTCTGCCAATTCTCTGTCAATGTAGTATTCCAGCCATTTTTTAATCATCTTCAGCAATATTTTGCTGGCATGTGTTATTAACGATATTGTTCAGTAATTTCCACATTCTGTTGGATCACCTTTCTTAGGAAGTGAAATGAGTCAGTCATAAAAGGACAAATAATATATAAGCCCACTCTTATGGAATCAGACAATCAGATAGTGGGGCATGTTAATTAATGTTATGGAACAAAAATCAATGAGTGTTGTAGATTTTCAAAGTATGATAAAAATAAACAACTAATCAGAATAAAAGTATTTTTGTTCAGTGATAAATGCTACTTCCCATTAGTTAATACATTACTTTTTTTTTTTATCCCCCACTATCCGTGAGGTCCCTATGACTTCTGGATAATGGCCTTACTCAAGGAAGCTAGGCATAAAATATTCTTTAAAAAGTGACATCCTTGGTACACATTCTTTTTTAAGCCATGAATCAAAATTATTTTAACAAACCTAACACAGTAGGAAAATGCTTAAAGAACTACAATTTCTTATTTGGCTCAGACAAAGATATTTTTAAAAATCCTCAGTTAATAAGCAAAGCACTCCTTAAAAAGAGAAACAGGAAGGAGGCATCTCACTCCCTGATTTCAAATCCTACTGCCATAGTGGTGAAGACAGTGTGGTACTGGAACAGTGACAGAAACATGGATCAATGGAATAGAACTGAGAATCCAGAAATCAGCCCATCTACCTATATTTAACTGATTTTTGACAAGGAGATGAAATCAGTTAAGTGGGGAAATGACAGCCTTTTAAACAAATGACAAAATTGGAAAACCATCTGCAGAAAATTCAAGCAAGACCCACATCTCACTTCACACATTAAAAACCAACTCAAAGTGGATCATGGACTTAGGAGTAAAACCAAGGACAATAAACTTCATTAAAGAGAAGCTTGGAGGAACTCTTAGAAGTCCTAATAACAACATAAAAAGTCTTCAAAGAATCCTGAAAAATCTACAACCAGGAGAGGATAAAATAGATGAATGGGACCTTCTAAGAATCAAATCCCTATGCACATCCAAAAACTTCTCCAACAGGGTAAAAAGGGAAGCCACAGACTGGGAAAAAAATATTTGGTAATGACATGTCAGATAAGGAACTTATATCTAGAATATCAAGCACCGCAACAAGATAAAGGTAAATTGAAAATGGACACAGTATATGAAGACACTTCACCAAAGAAGACATTCAGATGGCCATCGAACATATTAAGAAATGTTCAAAATCCCTAGCTCTGAGAGATGCAAATCAAAACAACTATGGGATATCATCTTACCCCAGTCAGAACAGCAAAATTTAACACAACAGCAAACAACAAATGCTGATGAAGTTGTAGAGGTTGCGGAGAAACTGGAACCCTTATTTTCACATTTGATGGGAGTGTAAAATGGTGCAGCCACTGTGGAAGGCCATATGGCGCTTTCTCAAAAAGTTGCAGATAGAAATACCATTTGACTCAGCAATTCCACTACTGGGAATATACCCCAAAGAAACCATAACCGCCACCCAAGCAGATATATGCACACCCATATTTATTGTGGCTTTGTTCACAATAGCAAAGAGTTGGAAACAATCCAAATACCTATCAAATGAATGGAGAGAGAAGCTCTGGTATATTCACACAATGGAATACTATGCTTCACTGAAACACAAGGGACTCATGTCATACACAAAAAATGGGTGACCCTGGAGGACACTATGCTGAGTGAACTATCTCAGTCACAAAAAGACAAATATTGCATAGTGCCACTGTTGTAAAACGGGACTGATATCGAGGTTGAGGGGAGACTGAGAAAGGGGATAAATAATGTATACTGCATTGAAACAGATGAGGGAGGGAACTATTTTAAAAGGATACATGATTAGGTATTATTGTTATGACAGGAGTCTAGAATGAAGGCTGCATAGTGGACTTGGGGGGAGGAATTGTATAACAGTGAAAGAATTTTTTTACTTTTCAAAGAGATGAGCAAATTGGGGGGGCGAGAGGAGTGGGCAGGGAGAAAAGTACAACAATGAATTAATAGAAATTCAAAGTCTCTGTAAACTTTCATTATAATTAATAAAAAAATTCTCAGTTATCAATTGTAGTAAAACAGAGGTTCATCAGGCAATGGCTGAGATTTATAATGGTTCAGAAAGAGTCAGGATTTTATTTTATGTTGATGATGATAAAGAAACTGCCACAGAAATGAATGATATGAACTTGCAAAACTGGTGAAACTCTAAAGATAATAACCATGAAGATAATGAAGACCTACTATTAGAAGAACCAGAGCCTTAAAGTCATATGTAAGCTAGTTTTTTTAGTTCTTTTGAAGGAATTTGTAAATGTTAAAATGAAAATTTGAGTTATTTAAAATTAAAGCTTTAGAAAATTATAAAGATTTTTAAAGATTTAGAAGTATCTCAACAATTACTTCAATAAACCCAAAACTAGTACCAAACAGTAGATGTTGATGATACATATTTTTATTAAAAAGTCAATTTTAAGAACAGTGTAAACTTGTGTTATTTTCTTGAACTGTAATATTGAAAACTGAAAACAAATACCTTTCGTGTTTTTATGAGGTAGGATTCTGAATAGAGAACAACAGAAAAGTATGATTGCATCCTCTAAAAAGATGAAAACTTGTGATATCCAGAAAAACTAGGCAGTCCCACTGAAAGCTGGCTCTCACAAGTTTCACTGTAACTGGAATCCAAGAGAGAAACAAAATGAAAGGAGGAAGAAGAAATATCTGTAAAGAAAATGGCTCACAGCTTTTTTCGTAGACAAATCATGACAAATTCAGGAAACCACTGCCGCAAAAAAAAAAAAAATGAGGTGGATTGATTCAGTGACTCGGATAATCAGGATGGGAGTGTTAGAGACAGTGCAATTGGCACAGGACAGAGCAGAGTTTAGGGCTGTTGGACATAGGGTCGCTACAAGTCGCAAGTGACTCGACGGCACATAACAACAACAACAACCTAAATCCAATGAGTCAAAAATAAATGATAAAGAGTATAGCTCTAAAGCTGCTAGACTGGGGGCGGAGGGTATACAAAACTTGTTACATACAGAGGAACAAAAATAAGAAACACAGTGATATCTCCCTAGAAATTAGGTAAATAAAAAAAAAGATAGAGAAGTGTCTTTTAAAGACTACATCTAGAAAAGAGTTTTTTTCAAAATCAGTGTCAATTAAAGTGTCAATTAAAGACTACATCTAGAAAAGAGTATTTTTCAAAATCAGTAAGAAAGATCCTAGGGAGGAAGTAAAAAATAATATTGCAACATTCCATGAGGAATGACAACTAATGCCATAAAACAAAATATAATAAATAAATATTTTATTTATAAAATAAACTGTTAAACAAAACCAAATTTGCTCTGTAATCTTTTATACAAACTACAAAAAAAGTGGGGAAGGGGTGGGTAAGAAACAAAGGTCCTTTTAAAACAAACCACAGGATACTGGTGGCCCTTGACTGCTCTGCTAACCAAGTGATGGTGGATTGAAAGCACCAGCTGCTCCACAGTTGGTTTCTGTAAAGTGTAATCTTGGAAAATTTATGAAGCAGTTCAACTCCATCCTTAAAAGTTACCTCACAGTGGGTTTTCTGATGGAAGGAATTTATAGCATACCTATATTTTTAAAAATGCAAAAGAAAGTTCTTCAGGCAGAAGGAATTTGATACTTACCTTGAATATCTATGGAAACAGATAAACTAAACATATAAGTCAAAGGTATTCTTCTCTTATTTTAACCCTTTAAAAAGGTTTAAAGCAAAATTAGTAGAAATGTAGTATGTGGGGTACATACATATATGTAAAACATGACAATATCAGCAGAAAAAGGAATGATTGAGAATATGCAAATAAAAGATAAACTCCAAATTTTTCACAATTGGGCCCAAAGTTTCCATTCTAGTCCTATTCCTACTATTTTAAGTAAGATATCCACCACACTACCCAAAAATAATATTCTAATAACAATGTCATGCCTTCTTGTACTTGTTTCAGCCTTAACTGATAAATTCTTAAACAAACCTAGACTAAATCAAACTAAAAAAATTAATTGTTGTCAAGTTAGTACTAACTCATAGCTGCCCCTCCAGAAGGTCTCTGAGGTTGTAAATTACATGGTAAAGATTGTCTATATTTGCCCTACAGAGCAGCTGATAGATTCAAACTCCCAAAGAAGCTCAGCCTTTGGTTTAGCAGTGAAACTCCTTATAGACTACGCTACTAGAACTAGATTAAACATATAATTCTTTTTCTATGTCTTAGAGGCAGTGTTTGAAAGCCAGATGTGTGAAATGAATTTATGGTCTAGCTGGTAATAATTTTGTAATAAAATCAAAGTAAATGGCAGTGATATTACACCTATTAATTGACCTCTGGAAACAGTACTACTGCGGCTTCTTTAAGAGAAGCTACTATCACCCTGATACTAATGTGGTATTCATTTCTTAATTCTATAAAATTCTGCAAATGTTCTGCTCTACATTTTTACTGTGCCAATTTCCACTACTTACAGCGACTAGGTGGGCTGATGTCCATCACAGTCAAAGTAGGATTGTCTATGTCACTTCCCCTTCTTCTGATTCGACTGTCATCGTAGTCTGAGGTAAAGATGCTGCTTCCACTACTAGTGCTTAAGGAATGTTCAGTAGGGCTAAAACTCACAGGCGATCGGAAGTTGGTCCCCTGAGTCCTTCTAGCTCTTGGAAAAGTCTTACGACCTAGAAAATAAAAAAAGAAGAAAAAACCAAACCACCAATTCCCTTATAATTTTTTCTTAAGATAAAATTACCTTAATACTAGTAATTTAAGGAACAAAAATTGGAAAAACAATTATATGGTTATATGTAGACTTAAGAGCAGTTTTCTTTATAAAGGAGTTCAAGAGAAAATTCTTATAACTTGTTTGAGATTTTAGTGAAAGTTTATAAAGAACTTGGATTTCCATTCTTTCATTATTGCACATTTTCCTCCCTGTCCCTCCTCCCCCAAAGTTCACGTTTTGGTTTTGGTTTTGTGTTGTTTTTTTTTAAATAAAAACAGTTCTTTTGTTGTTATACAGTCATTATCATCGTTGTCTCCCCCTTTACTATACAGCTCTTATTCTGGACTCTTGTCATGTCAATAATACCTAATCATATATTCCTTTTATACAGTTCTCTTCCTCATCTGTTTCAATGCCATGTACATCATTTGTTCCCTCTTTTCCTAGTTTCCTTCGAACCCCCATGTCAGTCCTGTTTTATAACATTGGCATTATGCAGTATTTGTCCTTTTGTGACTGAGATATTTCACTCAGCATAATATCCTCTAGGGTCATCCATTTTGTATAATATTTCATGAGTTCTTTGTTTTTCAATACTGCATAATATTTCATTGTGTGAATATACCATAGTTTCTCTATCCATTTGTTTATTGACTGGCATTTGGGTTGTTTCCAACTCTTGGCTATTGTGAACAAAGCAGCAATAAACATGGGTGAGCACATATCTGCTTGGGTGGGAGTTATGGTTCTTTTTAGAGTATATTTCCAGTAGTGGAACTGCTAGGTCAAATGGTGTATCTAATTCCAACTTTTTGATAAAGCACCATACTGTCTACCATAGTGGTTGAACCATTTTACACTCCACAACCTTAGAAGAATATACCCTGATCATGGACAGGAAGACTCAATATTGTGAAAATGACAATCTTACCAAAGGCAATCTACATGTTCAATGCAATCCCAATACAAACACCAATCCCATTTTTCAATGAGATGGAAAAGGCAATCTCCAATTTTATCCGGAATGAAAAGAGACCCCAAATAAGCAAAGCACTCCTTAAAAAGAAAAACAAGGTAGGAGGCATCTCACTTCCTGATTTCAAATCCTACTATGCTGCCGTGGTGGTCAAGACAGTATGGTATTGGTACAATGACAGACAGATAGATCAATGGAATAGAATTAAGAACCAAAAAAAAAATCAACCCATCTACCTATGGTCAATTGATTTTTTACAAGGAGACAAAATCAGTTAAATGGGGAAACGACAGCCTTTTTAACAAATGGTGTTGGTAAAACTGGAAAACCATTTGCAGAAAACTTAAACAAGACTAACACCTCACATCATACACAAAAACCAGCCCAAAGTGGATCAAGGACCTAGGACTAAAACCAAGGACTATAAACTTCATTAGAGAAAAGCTTGGAAGAACCCTAGAAGCACTAATCCACAACATGAATAGACTTCCAAGCATCCTGAAAAATCTACAACCAGGAGAGGTTAAAATAGATGAATGGGACCTTCTAAGAATCAAATCCCTACGCACATCCAAAAACTTCTCCAACAGGGTAAAAAGGGAAGCCACAGACTGGGAAAAAATATTTGGTAATGACATGTCTAATAAGGGAATTACATCTAGAATTTATAGACTACTCAAATGCCACAACAAGATAAAGGTAAACCCAGTTGTAAAATGGGCACAGAATATGAACAGGCACTTCACCAAGGAAGGCATTCAGATGGCAAACAAATACATTAAGAAATGTTCAATATCGCTCGCTCTAAGAGAGATGCAAATCAAAACAACTCTGAGATATCATCTCACCCCAGTAAGAATAGCAAAATTCCACAGAGCAACAAACATTCTTATAACTTGTAATCACAAATTCTAAGACAGTAACAAAAGGAAACCATCACCAACAAAAATGTCAAGAAAGAAAAAAATAAAAAAAAAGGAGCAAGGGGATAGAGATGGTTGTTGTTATTATGTGCCATCAAATTGCCTGTGACTCATAGTGAACTATGCACAACAGCTCTGAAGCCTGGCCTGTCCTGAGGCAGTCTCACTGATTCTGACTCACCTACCTCAATTGTCTTAGTTACTGTATCAATTCATCTCATCCAGGGTCTTCCTCTCTTGTGCAGTCCCTCCACACTTCTGAGCATGCTATCCTTCTCTAAAGATCGGTCCCTCCTGGCCACAGAGCTACAAAATCCTGCCTCCAAGGAAAAACTTGGTTTCACTCTCTGAAAGACAGACCTAACATTTGTTTTCTTGGCAGTCCATGGTATGTTCAAGGCTCTTCTCCAGCACCACAACTCAAAGGCATCAATTCTTCTTCTGTCATCTTTAGTCATTGTCCAGCTCTCTTGATTCACAGCAAGTAATTTTGAAGACCATGGACTGGATCAGGCACACCTTAGTCTCGAGACTGATGTTTTTCCCTCTTAGTACTCTGGAAAGGTCCCTAAACAGTAGATTTGCCTAATGCAATTAGTCTTTTGATTTCCTGACTGCTGGTGCCAAGAGTGTTGATTGTGGAGCCAAGCAAGCGTAATTGTTAACAATCTCAATGTCTTCTCCATTCATCATGGTGCTGAGAGGTGAGAGGTTTTGTCTTCTTGATGCTGAGCTTCAAGACATATTGAAGACTACAGTCCTTGACCTTCTGCAGCAAGCGCTTCAGGTCTGTCTCAGTTTCAGCAAGCAAGATTGTGTTATCTGCATAACGTTGGTTATTGATGAGTATTCCTCTAATCCTGATGCCACATTCCTTCTCTTTTGAGTCCAGCCTCCTGAATGGTATGTTCTGTATACAGATTAAAAAGGTATGGAAATAAGACGTATCCCTGGTGCACTCCTTTCCTGATTTTGAACCATGTAATATTTCCCTGCTCTGTTCTGAGGACTGCTTCCTGGTCTAAGTATGTTGTTGTTGATTGCCATCGAGTCAAGTATAACTCATAGCAACCCTATGAACAGAAGACCTGAAGCCTTTCTATAACTATCATTTTTATCAAAGTTCATAGTTTCCAGAGGCATGTTGCTTAGGAAGCAGATGTCACTCCTGCTTCCAAGGTCTAAGTATAGGTTTCACATAAGCACAGTCAAGTATTCTGGGATTCCTATTCTCAAGGTTAACCACAATGTCTTATGATCCACATATTCAAATGCTGTTCCATAGTCAATGAAACAGAGATAGATATCCCGCTGGTACTCTTTGCTCTCTGCCAAGATCCATCTAAAATTGGCAATTAAAACACACTATCTATGAATGATTGAATGGAAAAGCTAGTATCATTTGCAATATTTCACTCAAATAAATTAAGAATCATTGAGAAAACACACCTCAAAAACTAAGTGATTCAGGAACAAATCCATATCTAAGAATAGTACATATATATGAGATTTTTACCCAATACTTTTTGTAGTGTAATTGCCAGAAACTTACCATCATTATAGTCTTGATGGTGATATGAAACATGATACCTCCTTGGATATGTACCTCCTTTTCCAAATTTCTCAAAGATAGGGTTGTCATAGTCTGTCAAGACCCAGACGCAATGTTATATTACAAACAGAAAAAAAAAAGTCAAATATTTCTAACGATAAAAAGCATTCTTCCAAATTTTTATTTGATTAAAAATAATCTTTCCAAGACAAATACTATCAAGTGGCATAAATACTTAAACATTTATAATTTGCATAGTCTAACCTGAAAATTCCTGATGATTATCTGGGTAGCTTTGTGCCCTAGGCATTCGTGATTTTGGATAGGTTTCTCTGTAAGTAGAAAATGTTTTATTAAATTAAGATAAATTATGTAAGTGAGATACATTTCCAAAGTCTTAGGAGCAATTTCAGTGTGTTTCTCTGTCCATACAATTTTATGCAAAAGAGCTTATTCTAAAATGTTAACATAAACAAAAACTGAGGAACTTCTCATTAGACATCTACTTGGTACTCTCTTTCACTGCTGTAGAGTCAGAACCAACCCATAGCTGACCCTTCAGTGGGTTTTCAGAAGCTGTAAATTTAACAGGAGGAAAATGCCCACTTTCTGCCCTAAGAGCAGCTAGTGGATTTGAACCACACTTGCTGTTGGATTCACAGTACAACTCCTTATCCCGTAGACCAAAAGATCACCCTATTTAGTACAGACTGGTAAAAAGCCTGACTTAGGAAATGAATCAGAATAGGAGTGAGAAGTAGGCAAACCGATGTTTTAATCCTATGTAAAAAAGATACATTTCCAAAGTCTTAGGAGCAACTTCCGTGTCTTTTTCTGTCTGTATAATTTAAAGTAAAAGAGCTTTTCCCAAAATGTTAATATAAATAACAAAAGGGGAAACTTCTTTTTAGACATTTACTTAGTAAATGTCTCTTTCACTGCTGGGGAATCAGAACCAACTCACAGGTGACCCCTCCAGTGGGTTGCTATGAGTCAGCATACTGTAAGTCAGACTCAGCTCGAAGGCAGCTAACAATAACACAACATGTTTTAATCCTAGTTCTACCACTAAACTACTGTGCAATCTTGGTACATTACCTTTCTGAGACTGACTCCTAATCTATAAAAACCAAAACAAAACCAGTGCCATCAAGTTTATTTTGATTCATAAGGAGCGTACAGGAAAGAACAGAACTGCTCCATCTTTCTTCCACAGAGTGGGTAGTGTTTTCAAACTACCAACCTGACAAAGCAGACAAGACAACTGTACTTGTATATACACAAAGTGCTCAGGAATAAGACAAAGGTTTTATGAATAGTAAGTATTCAATAAGCTATAACTTACTTATTACTATTTTCCCTGAATTTCTAAATCTCTACTTGAGTAAATATTAACACAAATAAAGGTTTCATGTATCAGTAAGAGAAATGTAATAGTATATTTCCATATAATATCAGTTATCTTTTCATAATTTGCCTTCATAAAGCAATTCAAGAGAAAATTAACAAGTAGAGAATTTGACAAGGAATCTTTGGGCTTTGGGTGCTATACAATATCAACCAGGAACACTGCCTTATTAAAATTAGGAGAGGGAGTACAAAAAAATTCATAGTTTTAATTTTATTCCCCTGTATTTTTAAACAGCTATTTCACAAATCAAAAATATTTACATTTTTTACATTATAATTAACATACCAGGTCACAATTACAAATAATATTTTAATTTGGTATCAAATAAATAGAAAGGTAAAACAACTGAAGAACTATCCAAAATCAAAATTGATGAAAATTTAGACAGCAGTTTCACCAACAAAATTTCAAAAGTTATTCACTCAATAATTCACTGTTTCTGAAGTAGAACAGACTCATAACTGACCTTCCACTGGGTTTTCAGAGGCTATAAATCATACAGGAGGAGACTATCCATCTTTCTCCTGCCTTTAAAACCAATTACCATGAATTCTAAATAGGTGTATTTTGGCATGAAGGAATACTGAAAAGAATATAATCAAAAGAAACCTTAAAGGCATTATTTTAATAAACTGAGTTCTATGAGGTTAAGGGATTTGCCCAAACTGTGAAAATACTCATTTGTACTAAATATAACCAGTCATCAATTACTTTCTTTTGATTGCAGCACAGAAAAGGTCTAGATAATTCACAAGCTAACTACTTACAGACATACATGCAGAAACAAAAATCACAATCAACATTACCCATCCAAAGGACTATCAAGTGATGGACAGCTTCCTGAGCCAGAATTTTCAGGACTGCTCAAAGATAATGGATCCAGCATCTAGAAAAAGAAACAAAAGTGTCTTTATAATGTAACTGGATAGTCCTTAAAAGTTACTGGGTTTTGCTCATCTGTAAATGAATGAGAATTTGTTTGCAAATATTTTTTAAAACAAGTTTACTGAGTATTTAATGCATATGCCAACATATTCATGCATTTGTACTGCAAAATTTAATAGCTTTTGGAATATTCAGTGTTCTGAAATTTCCCAACAATTTTGTTAACACTTTCATCAGCCCATAAAGGTACAGCCATCAGCATAACCATCAGCAGTCCCCAGTTACTAGTTTTCAATGATATAAAATGTAATTTCTTTTAGAGAAGCCATTACTTCAAAATTTCTTGAGAAAAATTTTCTTCATATAGTATTGCTACTGTTGTGTACTGTACAGTTGAAATTAACCCATAACTGACACTCTAGGTTTTTAGAGGCAGTAAATGCACAGGAGGAATCTGCTCATGTTTCTCTCATGTAGGAGTCAGTGGATCCAAACCTTGTACCTTTGTGATGGCAATATAATTCCTTACCACTAAGCCACAGAGCTCCCTTAACACAGTATTCATTTAAATAATTAAAAGTCAAAATATCTTGCATAATATTCCTTACTAAAATGGAATGATGGTCAAATTAAAACTAATGATATCATTTGTTGCTGTTACATACTGCAGAATCAAAACCAATACCTAGCTGATCCTCTATGTGGAGTTCAGAGGCTGTAAATCACATGGGAAGAGGCTGTTCTTCCACTAAGCAGCTTTGGGTTGGTAGCGCAACTCCTTATCACTAATTTATCAGAGCTCCCTATATGATATAACTGCTTCATGAAAAGGAATTGTGCTGGAAATCCAAAGGCACATGATTTGAATCTACCAACTGCTCCTCAAGAAAAGGATGGACAGTCTCCTCCTGTGTGATTTACTGCCTCTGAAAACTCACTAGTATGGGTGGGTTCTGACTACAATACCTAACAACAACATTATTATCATAAGATATAAATTACCTTATAATAGCATTTAACTTAATGTTAAGAAAACAAGAACAAATCCATAACATTCCTATACTACAAAGATAATTGAGAGAAATAAACTACCCTCTTTTGAAACAGATACTTAAATTACTGAACCTTTGTTTCACTGTCCTGGAGCAAGGTGCAAAAAGTTAGCCTCTTCCTCTCTGCGCTCAAGTTCCTGACCCAAGAATGTCCCTCTCCCCTTCCTTCACCATTAGAGACTATAAAGCCCTCAGTCTATATAGGAAGTTGGTGTTATAGTCCTGTCAAAATCTCCTTTCCCAGGTTTTATTCTTGGCAATAAACTTGTCTGCACCTTGAGCTGCTGAGTCTTTTCTTACATGTCGCTAATTTTGTGTGTGTGTGCGCGTGTACCATCAAACCAGATCTGACTGGTACAGGAGGAGATTGTCCCTCCTTCCCCTGCAGAACATCTGGTGGATTTGAACCGTGAGCCTCTGGGATTGTAGTTGCAGCTCCTTGCCACTAGGCCACCAGAGCTCCCCTACATGTCGCTAATTTTTAAAAATGTACTAGAAAGCTCAGAAACCTCAGCTTCACAAAGTTAAATGACATAATAGTTTTTCTATATCTTTAAAATGTTAAAAATATCTAATATTAAACATATTCATTTATAAGCATTATAACATTCAAGTATTCAAGTATCCCTTACATATCAAATCCATTTTGGTTTTTTCACTTAAGGACGGCATGAGATTGAAGAACATAGCAAAACAAACAAATAAACTACCACTCTACCCATATGCTAGCACTAGGTAACTGCCGAAACACAATGACTGTAATAACATCTTTTTTAATAAAACTGAAAAATTATTTCAAACTTCTACTTACTTGGTCCATGCTCTCCGGAATGAACTCTCCTTCGCTGTTGATACTAGTGAATGAGCCATTCCGAGCAACCTGATGCAATTCATCTGGAATGTATCCTGGGGGAGGGGAACTTCTTTCTCTACTTGTATGGCCTCAAAAGAAAATAATTAAATGATTTTATAAATATCAGTTTGAGCGACTGATGGCTGACAGCATCACCTGTTGTGCTCCCACAGTTATTTGGGGAGATAACTGCTGTCTAGCTTGACCACACGGGACCCATTAACTCAGGGAGGAACTGCCCACCACCACGTGACTCCAGAGGAGCAACCAACCGGCCCCAGCTACAAAAGACGCTGGAAGAGCAACCGCTGCCAGGTCGCTGCATGACCCCAAGGAGCAAACACCCCCAGCCACCACGTGACA